AGGAAACCATCGTATGAGTTGGAGACCCCTCAAATTTCAAGAAACCTGATATCCAACTTTTTAAAAACATTTTTGAAGAGTCCAATAAATTCTGGGAGTTGAAATCCACACATCTTAAAGTTGCCAAGGTTGAAAAACACTCCATTAGACAAAGACATGTTTGTTCCACTCTTTTTTAAAAAATCAAGGCAAACAATCATCTGCCCAGCTTATGAGAGCGAAACCGGCTCAGCGAAGCTCGTTCAGCAAAGATGCTTCTCTTCCTTCGCTAAAAAGTCATTTTTAGGTCTAATGAAAAGGAGGCGGTTCTCCGTATTCCCGTTTTGTGCTATAACAAAATTAGGGGGTCTGCAGATGTTTCTCTGTATAGGGTATCGCTGCCAAGGTCTTAGCTCTCCAAAGATTTCTGACCACCTCTTTCCACAGATCTGCAGATGGAAATCTCTGGGGTAGAAATTATGCTTGCTGATTTTCAGAGTTTGCTTTGCACCAAGAAAGATGTCATTTCTGAGATGTGAAAATGTTCACCTGTCACATCCTGCCTTCCAGTGGATGTATCTATACAATATACTTAACCAGGTTATTGAGAAACCCAGTGAATGGAGGTGCACAAGCTTCAGTAGTGTTAACCTAGGTCAGTATTTCTCAACCTTGGCACCTTTAAGATGTATGGACTTCAACTCCCAGAATTCCCCAGCCAGCCTTGCCAGCTGGGGAATTCTGGGAGTTGAAGTCCACACATCTTAAAGTTGCCAAGGTTGAGAAACACTCAACATTTGGGGGGAGGGGGAATCGTACTACCATTTGTGCAAACTGTTTAGTTAACTAGTGGTTTAGTGTACTGCACCCACCCAGAAATGAGTTAGTTCAGGATCAAGGTTATAAAACTATTTCAAACACTGATAAAGGATTTTAAATCCTTTCTTTCACATCAGGAGTATAAATTTGTCTCCATGCATGTCAAACAATTCTCCTTAATGAGCCCAGGCTCAATTCTTCCTAATGTTCTTTATAAAGTGCCAAATTTTAATAAAGTTTTCATAGAAGGCCAAATTCAATATTTCGGGAGTATAATTCAACATCACATTTACATCTTTAACTAAGATATTGCTTCCCAGGACTCTCTTAACATCTGTTGTAACTTGAAACCAAAAGGAAACCATCGTATGAGTTGGAGACCCCTCAAATTTCAAGAAACCTGATATCCAACTTTTAAAAAACATTTTTGAAGAGTCCAATAAACATGAAGCAATGTTTTCTGATGAATTAATGTAATTCTTAACCCCCAAGAAGTGTATTTTACACTTTTTAAAAACATCTTGGACCCATTGGGTGATTCCAGGAACCAGGGTAAACGTCCTTACGCAAACCCAGGCACCACATGGTGTGCTTACAGCCGTTGGGGTGCAAGATTGCTGTCACAATCACCTGGGTTGGAAGGAAGGGGAAAGAGAAAATTTGGGGTGGAAGGGAGAGGAAGGGAGAGCTGAGTTCTCTAACCCAAATTCTCTTTTATTTTCTTCTTCCGATCCAGCGAACAGCAGAGTGAACCTTCTTGCAAGAGGAAAGTGGGCGGGTGACCATCAGCCAAGGGCTGTAAATAACTTGCCAACAATGTATTTATTCCTGCAGCTGATAAAGCTTAGTTGCTTAGAGTCCAAAAAGACTCTAAGGAACTAAGAAAGGATACAAAGATCAGATATCTACTGGGATTATTTCCTGGAGGAGAGACATGCTCACCAAAGAGATACAATCAAGCTGAAAAGCATCACAGACTTCTTAAAAATGTTATCAGATACATTGTTTTCTAAAAATGAAAGGTGGTACCCATAGGTGTCTGTAAGAGGGGACAAATGATGAAATGGGTGTCTCTATATCATGGTGCAAAAGTAGGAAAGGTCTCAGCTTGTTTCAGTATGTTAGGACACCTCTGTCAGCATGGTTAGGAATGGACACCTATGCTGATAACCAAGTTTCGAATGAGAACTGGTGCAGATTCCTTATAGTCTGGAATAGGCTATTAGCGCCAGGATTGCAAGTCTCTGGAACAGGCTGTTAGCGCCAGGATAACATAGACCAGTCTGCTGATAGCAGCAACCAGTAGACTGTGGTTGGCCTCAGAAGCTGAGCAGGGCCCACACTGGTTACTATTTGGATGGGGACCACCTGAGAATTCCAGGGCTGTTGGCGAGGCTGGGAAGTTGGGGAAAAAATCATGGAAGAAGCCAGTCAAACTCCTTTGGTAACCCTGCTGAGAAAACTGCAAGGTTGTAAGTACTCAGGAGTTCAACTCAAGGATGTCTTTACCATTAAGAGGTAGGAAAGAATTCTCCTGTAATGCAAGTGAACTTACATGTCTTTGCAGTGATGGAGATCCCAGGACCTTCTACCAAGCCAAAAATGACATAGAGCGAAATCACATATTCGGTGTTATGAGCCAAGTTCCTCAGATGGTATGTTGCGGTAGAACTGTTCAGCATAATCTGACGAAGTTGGTCTCTCCTGAAAAACTCTAGAGACATGCAGAATTTGTTCACACTAAGCCCCACTTTTGTTAAGCATGGTTTACTGAACAAGCCACAACTGGCCACGCTAAGTTGTAAACCACAGTTTACAAGCCATATTGGCTGGGCTCATGTGACGTGCTACACTATAAGTCAGGGTTTACAAGTTACAGTTCACAACATAAAGGCTGATTCTCAAATAAGTCAACTTTAGGGCAGTGACGCAGGAAAATCTGAATCTACCTTGTCCTTTTCACATACTTGTTTGGGGACAGGAAAATTCCCTGCTATCTCATGCATTCAAGGGATTATGGGAAAACGAAGACAATGAAGTAATTACCATAATGGTCCATCCAGGATACCAAAGCTAAGACTGTGTGTGCAATGGAGAGAAGTTCTAGTTTCACTGGCTTCTCTCCAGCCACATGTGGCTGAACTACTAATTACTCCCTAATCTGAGCTGGCCAGGCTGCACCTAGAATCCGTTTTAGGAAGGACACTGTGTCCATAGGGTGTGAGGCAGTGCACATAAAAAAACATGCAGAGCTTTTATTATTTATTTATTTATTTATTAGATTTGTACGCCACCCGTCTCCCCCAGTGGGTGACTCATCTTGGCTGCCATCTTGACTTTTCTGACCATACCCCGCAGATACACTCCTGAACCAGTACGTTTCTAGAGGAGAACCATCAAGATGCTAAATTTAGGAGAACATTTACAGGCATGGAGTATGTTTAGCCTGGAGAAAAGGCTGCAGGGTGGCATGATAGCTGTCTTCAGGTATCTGAAGACAAGACTGAATTATCCAGAGTTCTTCTAGAAGACATTCAAGAAATAATGGGTTTAACAGAGAAGGAAGCCGATTTGGTTGGGCATCAGGAAGAATTTCCTAATGGTAAGAGAGCTGTTCAACAACGGAACAAGCTACTCCAGGAGGAATTCAAGGTCGGACAGCCATCAGATGCTATGCTAGTGGATTCTTGTTCTGGACAGGGAGTTGGACTAGGTGCTCTTCAAGTTCCCTTCCAACCATTCTATGATTCTTTGATTCTGCAACAAATGCAGCCCTGGGTTTATTCTCCGCAAGCAGACATGCACACACATACAGTGAACGGAGAATGCTAAACCTAAGCAAGCTGTTCAGGCTAAGGACGAAGGACCTTGAAGTCCCACCCTGCAATAGCACACCAGGTTGGGGAAGGCTACCTGAAGCTATAAAAAAGAAAGTTTCTTGATGAAAAATTGGGACCCTTGGCTAGAGTCCTTCTCTTACCTGGAGTTGGACCCCATGTTAATCGATACCCAGTGGCTCCCGCCACAGAATTCCAGAGAACCAGGACAGAGTTTATGGTAACATCTGTGGCCTTCAAGATCCGCACAGCACTCGAGGACACTGAAATGGGCAGAGGTGTCAATGGCAAGGAACGGAGAATGGGACCCCTCTTGTACTAGCAGGGCTGCTGCATCCAGACAAGCCACCAAGCTTGGTTCCTGCATTAACCCATGTTCTGGATCTGCACACTCAGCTGAAGCCTAGCCTACCCAAATAGGCCGGGTTCAGACAACATACGAAGCCACTAAAAGACACTAACCAAGTTTAACGCTAATCAAGCTTTGTAGGGGGTGCAAATGCAGCTTCTCAGTCTTCAAGTAAGCGGGTGAAGTTTGTGTTGTTGTGTAGAATGAAATAAAAACAAACCCTGTAGATTTACAGAAATAATAAATGATTGGGGAAGGTGGGCGGACAATTACTTACAGGTAGTCATCTTTGCTGTTAATGCCGGTCCCTCAATGGCTCCAAATACTGGATTTAGGGTCACAATATATTCCATAGCAGGTTGGAGCCCATGAATTCTGTAGTAGTTGTAAGAGCCACCCAGGTTCACGTTCTGGACATTGCCTTCTGCAACCAAGAGGAGATCCGATTCAAGGGCCGTGGCTCCATTTCTAAAGCATCAGAAGGCTAGAACCCAGGCCAGGACTTGATCTGAATTGTAGGATCCACACAACACATGCAGAAAAGGACCAAGGCTTGCTTGTCCAGCCAAGGCCACCATTTTGACTTCTTGGCCAACACGCCCACCCACACCCATAGGCGCATGTGCAGTTGCCGCTGGAACTCAGGTTGAAACTTCACCAGCAAAGATCCAGGTGGCATCCTTGGTATCTCTGGCTAAAAGATCTGGAAGCCGCTGATCAAGAAATGTCTGTTTGAGGCCTGCTGGTTAAAGCAGGCACAGAGAAATCAGAATGAGAGGGGTTTGTATTCATTCCAGCAGCATTGTAGATTTTTGGCTGACCTCGGAAAACCAGGCAGGATCAGACCTGGTTCATACTTGGATGGGACACCACCAGGAAATACTATGGCTGTTGGTTAGCCTGGGAAATTTTTTAAAATCCTGTTAAGATTGCTGCCAAGAAAGCTACCTTGAATCTGCCACCAGAGGGCGCCCTGCCCCTATTTTATTCATCACACCAACTTCAGAACGTCCTTTTTCCTCCTATACAAGAGATCGTAATTATTTATCTTACCCTTCTAGCCTACTTTTTGAACTCTCTTCTCCACCACAAAACTTCTTGCTCGTACCAGAATGTACGAAACATCTACGTGGCACCGAGGTTAAACAAAACAAGTTGTGAGTTTTGTATAAAGCATAGATTTACAAAGCTTCCTGTGCTGCTGACTGCCAGTGATTAAAACCAGTTAAAATCACCATGGAAAATCCTGTTTTTAAAGAGGATTTTAAGGCCTTTTGAAAAGCAAACAGAGATTTGAAAGGAGTCCCTGGCCAATGGTAGACAAGCCTCCTCAGATGATCTCAGTGACCTGGAGGGATCCTACCAAGAGTTTCTCTCAAGTAGCTGAGACCCAAGCCTTAAGTTCTTCCAGAGACTAACCTGGCTGCTAAGTTCTGGATCATCTGAAGTATCTGGAGTAGACAACAAGGTAGGGCAAGTGTTGCTGAGCAAGATGCCCCACCACTTCCTTCAAGGCATCCCTCAAGGATGAGTTCACCACCATTTGGGCCCACCTGCTGAGTATCCTTATCCACCCAGAAGGAACATGGATCTAGCATATAGGTGACCCCACTAACGGCTCTGAAAACCTGCCCACTTCAGTAACAGAGTACATGCCTGCCCCAGCCACCTCAGTAGGACCTCCCAGCTGAGTCCAACCTGGAGAGGGTCTGAGCTATTTTATCCATCAGATATTACATCAATGTAATGGTGAGGCAAGAGCTTATGGCTGATCCCACAATCAAGTCATGGTCTGCTTAACTATGTTTACTGAGTAAACCTCACTTACCTGGGTCTGAACAGCTCATTAAGCCCTAGACTCTGGTTTACAACCACAACAGCAAGGACCACACAGCACATAACAACAGCCTTCTCCAACTTGCGAATGTGTAGGCTTCAGCTAGAATTCTCTGCAATGGCCAGTCTGGCTGGGGAATTCTTGGACCTTAAGTCCACACATCTGGAAGATGCCAGCATGGGGGTTGCTGTGCTAAGCTAAATCATAATAACCAATGTACGGCTGAGAGTGATGGGTGAGTCATATCTGTAGGTGGACAAGCTTTCCATGCAATCATTAGTCTCTTAACCATCATCTCAACTTCCTTAAGAAACAGGAACCAAAACCTTTCTCCACAAGAAGAGAGTTTCCTACACAGGCAAGGAAGCCCAAAACTGCTGGAAGATTGCTACTCAGTGATTAAGGCTGTGACAATCTGCTAGTTGAGGCTAAAATGGAGTTGCATTGTAGTTCGTGGCTCGCTGTCTTGTGAACTTTTCACACAACAAGCAAAGACAACAGCTGAGTTCCCTCCACACCACGGTTGGGTCATGTTTGGGCTCTGAGTGAGGAACGGCGCAATTGTGGTTTATAAACTGGATTTAGGATTTAGCATAGTCAGTAGGAAGAAAGGCATCAGTAGAAGACACGATGATGCCATGACATCATCATACGAATGACATTGTGCAAATGATGTCAGTTGTGCAATGGCCCAGGAAAATTAAGCAGAATTCTCTGGATTTGAAAAAAGGGAAGTGAAAATCATGACTAATGTGTGGAAATAGAAAAAAATAGTGTTGGTGAAGTAGAGAGCTATCTTCCTCTACTTGACATTCTCCAAGTGTATATTTTTTCATTTTTTTACATTTCAGTTGATTTTTATGGTTGCCCATCTCACAACT